AAGATTTGAAGACCGTTTGAAGAAATCTAAAAGAATGGAGATAGCCCGAAGTCCAAGTGCCCAGAAGCCAGTGGGAGCTATCGTTTTATTTTTCTTTTAGGGGCCACAATCATTACACGTTTATTTACTGCGTTTTGTGAATGCATGTTGAATGTATGTTGAACGCTAGTAATGGACATGTGCGCGGCCATGTCGATAGATGAGATCGAAATTATAAATCCCTCACGAATATTAAGTCTGTTGCCTTCTGACGCCCGGCACCTATCCGGCTAATGTGCACTGTCATGTACTCAGCCTCAGCAGAGCATAGTACGGTGTATGTTAAGCTGGTTACGGGAACCGCCATAGCGTGGTCGCTGTCGCACGTTGGGTTAGACTTAACTGAGTCTCGGTAAAATGGATGGACGACTCAGAGGTAGTAAGTTGGGGTCATCAATGGCAAGTCGGATGATTTTACTCACTCATCCAGCCAGGAGTTGGATCTTTATGATTTAATTGGAACTCTATTCCTAACCAAAGTAGTCTGCTTGTAAGACGTGCCTCAGCCAATTACAAGTACGGTGAAAAGGTGTCCTGGTCCGGTTGCAGTAATATTGTTCGCCCAACACCAGACCAAGAGCTGAGAGCCCGGCTCATCAGTTGGAACTATGTTCCTACCTAAATAGTTGTCTTGTGGAGTAACGCCCAAGCGGAACGCAAGATAATGAAATATGGATCTTGGCCCACTAGAGGTTTCGCCGGAAAGCTACGAATCAATATCGAGGGTTATTGATTTGTTAAAAATAGTGGGAGATAATTAATTAAAGGCCTAATTAATTATTAAACATGATAGATAACCTAGTTTGCAAAATTTTCTGTAGATGGCAAACAACAACAACCCTTTTAACCTGCGTTACATCCTGGAAAACAACAAGTTATCCGGGACCAACTTTCTTGACTGGGAGATGAACCTCCGGATCGTTCTTGACTGTGAGAGGAAACTCTACATCCTCGAAACGGATCCTCCCAAGACCCCTGATGCTGATGCTCGTGTGTTCGAACTCACTTCCTTCAAGAAGTATGAGGACGACGCGCGAGATGTAAAGTGTATCATTATGGCCAGTATGACCGCGGAGCTCCAAAGGCTCCACGCGGACATGGAAGTGCGTCCTATGATACAATGCTTAAAAGACCTTTACCACGGTCAACCCCAAAACTCAGGTATTTACGTTATCGAAGTCAATATGTCTGATATCACCTCTTGGGTGATGGATACTGGATGTGGTTCTCACATCTGTACTTCCATGCAGAACTTGCATGAATGTAGACAATTGACGGAGGGAGAGATACAACTAAAAGTCGGCAATGGCGCACTCGTCTATGCATTGGCCGTCGGAACCTATAGTTTATCTCTACCTAGTGGTCTAATATTGCATTTGAATAATTGTCTGTTTGTACCTAGTATGAGCAGAAACATCATTTCTGTATCCTCCCTTGACAAAGCAGGATTTACATTCATTGTAAAAGACAAAACTCTTTCTGTGTTTAGAAATGATATATTTTATGCAAGTGCAAAAATGACCAACGGTCTCTATGTACTTGACATGGATACCACAATATATAACGTAGATGTTAAGAGAAACAAATCTAACACTTTGAATCTCGCGTACCTTTGGCATTGTCGTTTGGGCCACATTAACGAGAAACGCATATCTAAGTTACATCGTTCCGGTGTACTTGATTCATTTGACTTCCAGTCATATGATGTATGTAAATCTTGTTTACTTGGTAAAATGACAAAGGCTCCATTCACTGGTCACGGTGAAAGGGCGAGTGACTTATTGGGCCTCATA